AGTGACAGGTATGTTATCTCCTTTCACTCAGCTGACATCTAATTAATCTAAAGTTCCTCTTAAACCATCGTTTGCATGCAATTTCAAGGAACACCGGTGAGAATCTATGAAAAGAAAATGCTTTTATACGTTATATACGGAATAAAGGAATTTATCTGAATGCAGCTGAAGTCATTCATTCGTGTAACAGAATCTTCTTTAAAATGGCGAACGAAATTTTTGCAAGCTTTTTCCTATTGTAGCCTGCTACGGGTGTTTTCGTGCAGTTAAATGGAATTTCCCCTGGTGGAAAACCATTTACTCTCTGCGTTGAATTCTTTTTCGAGATCAAAATGTTCCCTCTTCCTGTTGATTTTAAGGTAAAAGTCTGTTAAATGCAAGATATTATAGGATAAAAAAGAAAATTGATTTTAAAAACAATTTTACTAACAGCCATCGTATCCTTTCATTTTTCAACGACAGTAAATTGCTGAAAATCGTTAATGAAATTCTGTTATACTGTTTCTTACGTTATTAAGTATCCTTGCAAATTATATGATGTAGATAGGAACTGCTTGAGATCCAATATCCATGAACCATTTATCTTTGCCTAGTACTTTGTTTCCGTCAGATTAAGGTTTCTTTGTATCACTACAATAGCTCGACGACAGCTAACAGCAGCAAGATCATTATTTACATAAAATAATGAGACAAAAAGTTCCTCTCTTACCTAGCTGGAGGATTGAATTTCAGCATTTGAGATGAAGCCTCGATGAAATGTGTCATAAATATACACTGGACTCTTAGCCCTGCGCCCTTCATAAAAATGTAACAAATTTTATTATTTTTAATGTAAGTAAATTCCTCGCGTTAGCAATGTCCCATTGACGGAGCCCAGGTGTTATGAAATTCAACTCGTAAAATATGCACGCAATCAGCGATGCTCGCGAAGTCACGAACATCAGGTGAATCTCCGTTTCTGCTTCGCGACCGCGCGCGTGATCTATCGCCGCCACGTCAGAGGCGTCCGTTTTCCAATCGAGACGCGTGAACTTCCTCCTCGCGATACACGTTCCGCGAGAAATTTTCCTCCTCTAGCCTTCGACTTTTACGATCCTTCCAACACGCGTCACGTACCTGATTTCTCTCTTCTTTTGTTCCTTCCCTTCTGCCTCCTCCTCTTTGTCTACGTGGTCGGCAACGGCAATTCTTTACGCGACGGCATTCCATGCAATCTACCGTAACGACCTTTGATGTCGAATCTCCAGTAAACGATGAAGATAATGCTCGTGTACCACGGCCGTGACCCGAGTCGATGGTATCTACTGATAACGAGCGAAAAGAAGTTAACGGGTATACGACACATTGCAGCCGAGGTTTTTACGATTCAATGCTTGGAACTTGTTTACTGCTTTCTCTTATCAAAGGACAATTGATCAACGTTTCAACGTGGTTGGCGAAACGAGGACCTGGAAATTTTTCTCTTCGTCAACTCGTCTTTGAAGTATGCTTTCCTATTAGGGATGTGCGGGTACCCGATATTACGGGCTCGGGCGGGCGTCCGATACATGCGTGCAGTCGGGTAGCCCGACTATTTCGGGTTCGAACGGGTACGGGCGACCCGCGACCCAACTCTCGTGTACTTGTTAATACTTGCAATAAACATGTGCAAAATCTATTTTATATGGAATTTTGGAATAAGATAATTTGGGAGCTTGTCCGAGTCTGTCTGACTGTACCCGACCGAACCCGAAATAGTCGGGCTACCCGACTCCACTCATGTATCGGACGCCCGCCCGAGCCCGCCCGATGTTTTCCGAACCGATTCGACTAGTCGGGAACCCGACACATTAGTTGGAATCCTTCCGAAATTTTTATTTTCATAACATAACTTTTGAGAAAAAACAATCCGTCGGCATTCTTCATTCTCTTTTAAAGCGCAACGAAGAATCGATAAGTAGCTGGTCAGAAACGAATCGGAGATTCTGTCGGTTTAAAAAATACTCTCCCGTCTCTTTTGGAGAAGAAGAATGATATTTAAAGGCGCTTCCCGGAGTTGCATCTATTCGATTCGACAGCGATTTATCACCACTCGAAAGAAGGGACTCACAAATTCGCAGCACATTCATCGCGTGCACCTTGTCAGCTCGAAATCACGTTCCCCTTTCAAACTCTCCGGTGAAACCTCTTTCCATCAAATTCGCGCATCTATCAACGTCTCCCTTTTCCGATTGTAAAATGAAAGGCTTCTCTCAACCTGTTATTTTTCATTTGGACAAATCCAAACGCCTTGTCCTATTAGTGAGTGCACGACTAATTAAGAAATCGACTACATCATAGATTTTCAAATTTCAATTTTACTTAAAATATTAATAGTATAATATAGTAACAGATAATAACCAGCCTCCAAATAATTAAATGAGTAAATTCGAGCATCGAATTTCAATCGCTTGTCGGCGGAATAATGTGGCTGAATATCGGGCATCGTTTCACCCCCGATGGTCGTGAAAATATGAAGAGGCGTATTAATTGCGTCCGCAGTCGGCAGCAGAGCGTAGAATAAAATTACCAACAGGCTCGTATTATTTTCGAGAGGGGGGAGGGATGCATGCGTTGTACAGCTTGCACTCACGGATCGGGTGCATTACAGGAAAGTGCATCCAGCCCCCAGAAACGCGTAACGCCATTACGAGAATCACCGATGCCATCGTCATCCCTGTTTTTCTCCGCGTTACCGTAAAATTGTCCCGTTTATTGGAATTCATTGTTACCCTCCGCACTGCCGCATTTGCACAAGCTGCAGGATACGCGGAGTTGGTCGAAGAACGGGATGAAACGTGTGTGAATTGGCGGTGTCGAATTAATTTTCACCATGCTGTTGCTTTATTCTTCGAGCCTTCGAATCTATCGAATCGTTTGGAACGTTCCTATTTTCTGTGGCCAATATTTATTTCACCATTTTCTTTTCCGCACAATTACGACAAAAAGCTCGCCAGTTGTAAAGTGTATGGGAAAGTGGTAACAGGCAGCATCGTTGTTTCGAAGAGGATCCCGGTTGCATTTTCAACGTTCGTTCCATTAAACGATCCAGCTCTCTAAGGGATGTTTACGCCGTTCGTTGAATCAGGTATTGTTCACTTAGACTGCGTGTTCCTAGGTGCGGCATTCATTTAGCGAGCGGCAAGGGCAGAGGTGCGCGGGCTCAGGGTAGAAATTGCAGGGAATCACGATCTCGTCGAGCTCCATAAAATTTCGCTCGAGGCAGGGGTAATCGGATTCGCGTCAGGCAATGCTTTCACACGATTCATTAAAGGGCCATTTATATTTCTCGATGGCGAAAAGTGGATCAGCCGGGCGAAGTACGTTTAATGGCACGCAACCGACCGATTCAACTCGATCCTCTGCCAAATACTCGCTCGAATCATCGGGTTTCAAGTTTAGTAAACGAAAGGAAAACACGGAAATAAAAAGAGATTAGATCGAATCGTATCAATGAAAAGTTCACATCATGAGGATGGAATTTTTAGCACAACTCTTATAAACTTATAGTATTTCAATACTTACAGAGTATTTGAATTTACTTACGAAATGCTTGATCCCATCACTACCGACTATCGTTCGCGGGATCGAAACAATAAAACTGAACGAATTGCTGTTAATGATTGTAACCGCGTCAAACAGCACGCCTCGATTCTTCCACGCAAAAAAAAAAAAAAAAAAATGGAACAAAAAGAAAAACGAATCGATGCGCTTGTTAAGCATTGTTTACGGCTCGTTCGATCCCGCGAAATCAATGTTTCACCCCGACGCGTCGATTAAAAATGTTCGACGAGTGAATTCGACCGCGTTTCCCTTCGCCCCTCGACACCGCCACTCCCGTTCGATTAAAACACGAAACTTGCTTATTGTCCGAAATCGCGGACACGCATATTTTTTCATCACGTTGTCGCACGCGTTATTACAAAACATTGCTTTCAACACGTGACTGTGTACGCTCGCGGCTCTACCGTATCTCCTTTTATTTCACACGAACCTTGTCGTGCTTTTACGAGATTCTCGTTTTAATCATCCGCTGTCCCGTCTGTTACACACGAACGTCGATGAAAGAATTTGTTGACGTACATTTCGATTTGGCACGGACAGCTTTATCTTTTCCTTAAAGATGAACGTAAGAATAATGATTTTGGACAGGTATATAAAGTAGTCGGGAAAGTATTTAGTCATTGTACAGTGATCCGTTCAGTAGCAGATACATACTTAGATTTACCAGTTCAAAGGACATTGTAACGGGAATAATGGTTGCAAGGAAATTCACCTTACTCGGATTGCTGCTTTTCGTTTGTCTGCAGGTACGAAACAATTCTATCCTCGATTTCTTAAAATTATTCGGTTGTTGACTTCGAAATATGAAAATGTAAAATAAAGAATTAAAAAACATGTCAAAGTGAAGAATTCGAATTCAAAATTATTCGTCTTAAGAATTCATATTTCAAATTTTCAAAAGCCTTAAGTTTCCAAGGCGTGATCGCCAAGTACAGCATAGGGTATTTAACGAAACAAGACGGATAAGTGTAACTTTGACGAAGGAGAACGAAGCATTAATGCATTAGATTGAAACGAACGAGCCGTGACGTTTGTACATTCAACTGGAAAGACACATTTGTCTGCGTTAGATGAGAGCTATTTAAAATTTCCCGCGCGGGGAGGATGTTTAAAATATAAACGAATCGGCTCATTTTTAATTTACGTTTCTCCGCTATGCAGAATACATTTTTCTCGTTGTAATAATAAACGCGGCTGTTCGTCTCCAATATTTTTACCGGACGTGCAAATGGAGACATTAACGTATCGTTTCTCCTTTTGACGATTCTATTTTTTTTCTTTTCCAGATGAACCGAGTTCATTCTCAGCCAATTATTAATTTCGATATTCTAAAACCTTTCAATTTACCAGGAATTGACTCAGCGAACGCCCAGTTTAGGAACCTACTTCCAGTGTCTGGTAATAATAAACTTCTTGTCATTTTATGTGAAGTGTTTATTAGAAAATTGAATTAATTATATCGTGTCTATTTCTAGGATTGACCGATATAACGAGCTTGGCTCAATCCATGAGTCTCACAGGAAGTGAGAAGCAAGATAGCGTAGGAACGGCTTCCTTGATCAAGCTCTTTACGCCTTGAAGCACGAGCAAAAAATATTCAAATTAAAATGCTTAGTTATATATAGCGACCCAGTAATGTCGTATTATAAGCTACGATTAGATATGAGATAGATTTAAGATATTTTCAATGCACACAATGTAATTTCAAAATAAAAAATCTTTTTAAATCTTAGAAATAATGAAATTTAAATTGTCACTGTTAGAATTGTCGAGCACCGTGTGCCATTTCAGTGACATTGAAACCATAATACTTCAAAGAGATTGCTCTTTTTTTAGAGATAGCTAATCAAATAAATTCATCGTGTGATTGGATCACTCTTACAAAATGTATAAGCTGGAAAAGGTTCAAATGCGAACAAACGCGTGTATACGTCAAAAGTCCATAGTGAGCCAACTCGACACAGTCGATTTGCCTAGTGAAAGCGATTCTGTAATAATTGAGTTTCAAGCTTAATCGTACGGTTTAGGTTCGGCTTGTTTGCTATGATTTAACCCAAAGCAAAGGTTGCGCCAGCCGCTTCGATCACATACTAGATAACTAGATCAAGTGGATGAATATGATTTCATTAGATCGCTTACTTTGTTTACAATGATGAAATTGATTAGCATTCATAGATCTCGTAACGTAACAACTATTTCCTCTCAATGAGAAATGTTAATTAATATCGTGGTAATATGGAATATAAAAAGTAAAAGTTAATAGGAATTAATCTAAAATCTTACTAATAATATAATGTATAACATTGAAAATAAAGAAATTATATCCTCAATAATTGTTATGCATTCTGTTTCGCTGCGTGCATCTATTTCCATTGTGCCGTTCAAGGTGTCAATAAATCACGACTACAGAAATACATCGAACTGCGAATAAATATGATAAAAAGCAATACCGTTATTATAATCAGCCCGAGGCCCTGAAACTGTTGCACCTTGCTACACGCAACGATACGAAGAGGTGGGAAAAATATTGCAGCCATTGTATGCAACAGTGGTTTTCAAGCAAACAACTTGCTGCCATCAATGCCAGTTCCTCGCTTCTGGTTGGTCTCCGGTTGTCCTTGCACAACATGTTCCCTTCCTTGTGTCGTGTCGCCAACGCAATGTCAACGAATGCACGGCTTGTCTCGCCGTTAACAGAGCGAAACTGTCTTTAGAAAGGATACGTCGAGCATCTGCGAATAAACGTCGCGTAATTCAAGCGTCAGAAACGATTCTCTCTCCTTTTTTTTTTTTTTTTTTTCTTTTATATCTTCACCCCGGAGGAACAACGAATGGGACAAGCAGTTAACGCTGCAATGGATACAGGGGCGCTTTGAACAGCAGCGAGGAAGCACCGACGCCGGAAACTCTTCCCTTGGGACCGGAAACGAGCACGGACGGGGTTGTTGGCGCTGATACGACAACGTTACTTAAAGGCGTCTCGCCGACTACGATCGTGGCTCCAGGTGGAATTAAATTAACTCTCGCCGTCGATGATGCTACCGTGTTACCGGAACCGGTCGTCAGAGAACTCCTGCTAGACGCTACACCCTCGATCCTCCCTGACTTTGTCGTCTCTGTAAATAGTAAGTATCCTGATGCTGGAATCGATTTACAAATTTGATCTCTTAAAATCGACATTCGGTTTTAATTTAGAAAATGAAAAAAAAAAGTTAATCCTCTTTCAAAAATATCCTCACCTGTGAGAGAAGGTGCTTCATCGTTTCCTCCATCATCAGTTAAGATACTAGAAACATTTGCAGCCGCGGTGGTAGTCGCATTGATAGAAATAACAGTCGTGGAAGCAGAAACAGTCGCTGATGAAGATGTTGAAGTAGCGAGAGCAATAGGCAACGGCGGTGCTGTTGGACCAGTAATAACTATGGGACCTGTGGAGGGACCTATTACAGCGTTCGCTGACGCTATTCCTATTGTTTCTTTAATTGCCGTCGTGTTCGCTGATGCATCCGCGGTCGGCGACGATTCTTCTGCGTTTTCGATTGCGACAGACGCCTTCGCTGACGTAGCAACGACGCCTTTCTTTGTTTCCGTTCCGGCTGACGCTGCGTTATCAGCGACGCCGATAGCGACGGAATTATCGGAAGGGGCTATCAGTATTACCGGACCAGACGACGCTCCTCTAACGAGCACCGAATCATCCGCTGGTACACTCGATATATTCGTCGTTTCTGAAATAAAATTCCTGTTTATGTCACAACAGACGCGTGTTCCTCCGAACAAGCTCGAATTTATGGACCCGTTAAATTCGCGCACTCTGCGAAGGATACGTGATTCCAATAAATTTTTCGTTTTATGCATCGCATAAAAGCTGCGCCGAGTAATAGGATCTCAGTACTCTTGGTTTGGTTATATAATTCGTACATCCATCTCGACATCGAGTACGGACTCGTAAAAATTTGAATTGTATTCGAAATGTTTTTAAATAGAGTAAAAGAATTACCTTCGATCGATGGAGCTGTGTTTTGTAGAATTTTACTGGAACTACCAGGCGATAGGATAGTCACAGGTCCGGAAGAGGATCCCTCGACTGTAGTGGTGGTCACGGGACCGGCGACAATCGTTTCAGTCTCTTTTATGGGCTCCGGGGCCAACAAGGTCACCGCAGGTGCAACTCCATAAAGTGGAGCAACGAAAAACGGTGGCGCAGATTGTCCGACGCCCACTATTTCATGATAAGGAGAAACGTCGGCGTGAACCGACGTTAGGAGAATCGATGTTGCTAACCGTAACTGAAAACGGATAAAGCGTGATTTATTGAGACGAGTGTCAAAAGTTTCGACGCGTTATCCACGGTACGCGTGGGCCGCCGACACAATAGTTGGAATGCTTTTCTACGTAATCTCGCTCGTAAATATTGTTTATTAAGCCGATCTACATACAGGGACACCGTTAAGCTCGCAAATATTACGCTAATAGAACATATCTGATTTCTTTCTTCATTCTTCAGGGTGGAATAAATCTTCTGGTCTAATGAATCAAGATTCGAACTTTAACATTTTGTATTTTGTATTCTCCCCTTCGGCACTTTGATTTATTTCCTATTTTTATATTCAACCCTTTAACGATGTAATATATAAATCTTTTTTCCTTTTACTTGAAAAAATTGAAAATCATTCTGGATCTCTTTTTTCATTCTTCAGAAAGAATAAATCTTCTGGTCTAATAAATCGAGATTTTAATTTTAACTCTGTGTGCTTTGAGTTCTTGCTTTGCAGCACTTTCATTTGTCACCGATTTTTATTTTTTTTATTTTACTTGAAGAGATTGAAAATTATTCTGATCTCTTTTTTCATTCTTCAGCATTTCATTCTTTCAATTTTAACCCTTTGTGCTTTGAATTCTCACTCTGCAGCACTTTGATTTATTACCTACTTTTATATTCTACCCTTTAATTATATAAAATGTAAATCCTTTTTAGTTTTACTTAAAAAAATTGCAAATTATCCTCAGTTATACTATGGCACCCTAGTAAATAGTAAATAAAGACCGATATCTGTTATCAGTGGTGTGTTGTAATGGATAACAGAGTATGAACCATGTAATTGGAGTAAACCAGGTTGATCATAATTTAACCACGGGTGCCCATCGTCGCGAGTCGCGTCAACGCTTCAGGTGATTCGAAAACAATATCTGTCACGTATCCGAACGGAGCGCTGCGCTGGCCAACAGATAGAGTCGCACGCATCGTGAATTTGCATAACTCGGTTTCCGGTAAACGTGCCGCGCATGAACACGTCATCGCCACCGCGGTTACGTGCTTCTCTACGTGGCCAGCATTCGGTCGAATCTTCCGAGATCCACTTCCTTCGAGAACTTTGCATCAAAGTGTCGGCCAAGAATTGGAAAATTATTTTGACAAATCTTGCTCTCATTCTTATTACTATTTCTATTTCACCTATCGAATAAATATCGTTGTTTACATCGATTAACATGCTAATTACTAGAACAGCTTCATTCCTATTCCTCGTTTTTGCTATAATATCTTAATAAAGTTTGCAGAAAAAGTGCGCTCGTTCGACACGATTACATCTATCGTTTGAATATATTTGCAGAATTATAGAAGGAAAATGTTGAACATTGTCCACGAGAAAGTTGTTTGTCGGCAATGCGTTAATAAATTAGTAGACGAATGAGGTAATCCGCGTTGTGGTTTACGAGCTCGCAATTCCACCGGGGCGAAGTTCAAACTCGAATCGATCCCGTTTTAATCCTCGGTAATTGTAAATTTGTCATTTAGAAGCAGCTGGAATATCAATGTAACCAAACGTCAGTACGTTATGAACAGATCATCCGCGGAATTCTACCGTGGAGCACCGTATTTAAATGGAATCTACGGATTACCCGTCTTAATCAAAGTTACAGAACGCGGCCATACGTTTCAATTATCCGGCTACCAGTGAATACCAGGCTATTCTATATATCAGACGAGGATTGGTCACAGATAGAGAAACGTTCATATTTCACGGACTACGCGGAAGCGCATTACAAACTAACGTATTAAAGTTTTCTCATCAGAAACCGGCCGCGGCGGCCGTTTCTTAACTGAGCGATCGCATCTTCGATCGAATCGCTCGATCAGCTACAATAAAGTTTCGTACACTTACCAGCAACCTCATGGCTTCTTTTCTTTTCTCCATTACCGTAAAATTCATCGCTGACCAGTTCGAATCGCTAACTGTTTCATCGCGAATCGACCTGAACGGTTATATACTCTATTACGATGATGAGTTAAGAAAAAAGCTCACCGCACCCTGTTTTCTTCGCGAACTATCCTAGGAATTCCATATGGACGCCAGAACAAAGACTGAAGTAAACGTGAGACAGAACGGTATAGCGTCTGATATCTGTTGATCACTGTGAATTAATTCCGTAGATGCCAATCGGTTTCTATTATTAATTTATGGAAAAGGAAGGCATCTTAGCGGACCTAAAAATAAGAACTAAATAAGGGAAGTTTCTTTAAAAAATTCTAAACATCGAAAAGCAATTATTGAAAGGAACGATGGCGCAATCGCGTTCACGCGTGCGAACAATTAAACCGGCCGGGGGAATAAATAACGTTGAACCGTATGGAATAAAAAAAATAAGCAAACGAAAAAAATCGTACATTGGAGGCGCACGGACACGGGTAATTGCTTTTCTATGTTGTAACATTTCAAACTGGACTTTCAAAGCAGAATTTCCTACCTTCCTGTATCGCGATCAAACATATTTTTAGTTTAAATCAATTCAAGGCCGTCTAATGCAGCAATCGAAAGTATCTTTCGCAATACTGGCCGTGGATTGCATCTTATAGCCCGTACCCTAAATCCTAACCCAATAGGGTCTGCCCGGTACGATTCGTATTTTTTTCTCTCCCCGTTGTGTTAGCTCGTAGCGTCGACGCGTAACGATCGATGGAAATATTTTTCCGCCCGTAAAATATGCTAATATGCGGCCGATGGCCCAGTTTTAACTTCTGCAACATTCGCACCACGTTGCGTGTGCAACGGTACGTACCACCAGCCGCGGAGCGCTCAATCGAGGTTTCTGATGCAACATTGCCTCTGTGCGAGTTCATCGTTTTAGATCGCTTGTCTTGATTTACGGATTTCAAGTCCCGGCCACGCCCGCTGGAACGACAAGGTACGAGCGAGAGGATAGCCTGGCAGGGCGAGCAGCCGCCATGCGGCCCGGACAAACACGCGTCCTTACGGGGTGGATGACGTACACGCTGTTCTACTGTATATAGGTAGGAAAATAAGAGTATAAAAGACAAAGTCGAAGCTAAGATTTTCATCAGTCGCTTGCACTTTCGAGTTCGAAGAAGCTCAAGTAATCCACCACAACCGACAAAATGAAATTCCTGGTAAGACTATACCGAGATCTCAGCATCTACTCCGTAATTGTGCAGACAAGATTGGATTCCTTCGAATCCACATCTAATTGCCTCTATTTTCAACTAATCGTATCTTAAGATTATTATAATTTTACTATTATTCTACTTGTTAATTTCTTAACCCTTTACTGTTGTATACTTACTCTCAATTACTGTGTCTAGATACAATTCTTAGTAGCTATTAGGAAAATAGATAATTCTTTTTATTTCCCATCCTTTGATAAATACGACCGCAAATGATTAATTGATTAATTCAGTTGAGAGGATAATTGAAATGTCAAGCAATGCGACAGAGTAAGGTTCTATCAATGGTCTGACATTCGACGATAACAATGGATCTATTTGTAATTTCAGTTCATCCTTTTCGCCATCGTCGCCATCGTCGCGGCCTACCCCGAACAAGAGGTCCGAGAACGCCGTGGAATCCTTGGGGGTCCAGTTCTATCGTCGGGATGGATCGGTCCCAAAATCGCTGCGGCTCCAGTTGCCATCGCCGCTGGTCCTAAACTCCTCGCGGCGCGTAAGTATCTTCACATTATATAAATTATCACGTTCAACTTGAAAATTTTCTCTCATTACTCGAAACAGATGTTTACAAGTAATCAATTTAATTCCACCTCAAAGATATTCTTTTTAAACAAGTTTTATTACATATTAATCTGAACCTTCATTAAAATGTAATTGTACGATCGCGATATTCATGGTTTAATATAAATTTTATACATTGCTTCCGAATATCTATTGAGTGTGTAATCGTACGATCGAGATCGATACTCACGGTTTAATATAAATTTAATGTTTATAATACAGCTGCCGTTGTAGCCGCACCTGCCCTTGCTCCCGCGTGGGGACTGAAAGGATGGTAAATAACCATTTAAATCCCGGCATAACTGGACCTGAAGTATTACAATGAATATCGACGATGGGAGTTTATCTCATTGCGCAAAATTCCAATTCGACGATTGGTCGCACTCCCTTTTTGTTTTCGGTCGCAATTACGATGGATACCTTGTAATTGGCACGATGGAAAATTCTACTCTTTCCCTCACCCCTTGTGTAATTTAAATTTTTATCAGATAATAAACTTATTTTAAAAACCTAGAAAAAATGTGTCTCACTCGATATCCACCATTACCAACCTTATATTTACTTCATACCTTCGATTTCCTATATAAAACCATGATATTCTCTTTTATATTTCGTACGCTCTGAAACAAATAAAGATTAAATTTCGTTATATAATTTCAAAAATAATATAATATACAAACAGCGTACATAATCTGGAATTATATTATTGTATTTGCTAATTAAATTTTCAATTAACATTGCCAATTTATAAACGAGATGTGAAAATAAGTTATTTCAGAATTGCAATTATAATTACAATTTCAAACACGTTAACGTTAGTTAAAGGATCAACTTACATGTATTATTCTATCTTCCCTGTTCATTTATTAACGTTTAGGTATGATTAATATATTCAATGCGTACACGTATCAATTTTATCGTTAATGAGCTAATTACAAACATGTCAACGTGACAGATTATACTTTCTGATACGTCATATTGATGATGCTTATTCGGAAATCAATTGATTTGACACACTCTACACGGAATTTAATTAGCATTTTGTAATTACAAATTTCGTTGCATTTTCGATGATAAAGAATCTTTTGAAATTAAATTCAAATTTTCTTTCAACATCAATTTCTTAAAGTGATACCTGTTGAAATGTTAATTAACTATATAAACTCACCGTGTCCAATAATTACTTTTACTTCAAACATTTAATTGTATTCAAAACCTGTCATTTATTAATACAGTGATTATACGTGGTTGTCTGCTATATTTATCGTTTGAACGTTGTACCGAAGTAATTATTCTACAGTGGGTGATCAAATTATTAGAGCCATGGTAAGAAATAGAGCCACAATCTTAAGATTTTTACCTGGTATAACTTTTAATCAATCATTCTCCACTATTAATATATCTACAAAAAAATACTTATAAAAATAAACAAATGTATGTAGTCGGGTACCGTGGGATCCTCTCACAATATGTCCTCTTCTTCAAAATAAATAATTTTATTCTCAAACATGTCATACGTCAGATTTTCTAGTCTCTCAAACCGAGATCCGGTAAAACACTGGAACGGCGGCAAAGTCATTATTATATGTATCCTTTCATCGCACTAGCTATGGGCGAGGGAACAGCAGCAATGCGTTTAACAATCTAAAAGTAGTTAAAAACTGGAACAACTGGTCCTCGCAGAACTCGATATCCTTTATGACCACATGGGTGATTCTACAGTAGGTGATCAAATTATTAGAGCTACTCGCATAAATTGATGATTTTATATAAAAATGATCAATTCTTAAATGAAAACCGAATTAAACGGAGTTTTAATTACTTTTTTATGATGTATTGATGCTTGTAAAGTTGTGATACACAGTTGAAAAAAGTGAAAGTTTTTGATTAGCCTGAAAATTCATTGGACCTGAACCCCATCGAAAGTTTGTGGGAATGTCAATTGATTGAACATCTAATAAAAGTATGGGCCAGAAATAAAGCAATCAAAATGAATTGCTTAAAATGAAAAGATTTGAGGCAGTAATTACAGCAAAAGGCGGCGTCACGAAATACTAACATACATGTGTAAATATAATCTTTTAAATGTATTCGTTTATTTTTATAAGTATTTTTTTGTATATTAACAGTGAAGAATTATTAATTAAAAGTTACACAATATAAAAACCTTAAAAAGTGGCTCTATTTCTACATAAACACGAAAAACCCATTTTTCATACCATGGCTCTAATAATTTGATCACTCACTGTAAACTTGAATTAACCAAGCCAATCAGCAAGCTTGACTATTAAGATTAAGACGATCAATCCGAAAGTAAAGCAGACATAATGGAGTACAAGATGGAGATTCATTTATTACGATACAAGAGTAACAATGGTACAGCTAATTACAAAAGGAAGAAACTCATGAAAGAACCTCTTCGAAGTTCGAACACATTGTTCGCTCAAAGAGTCTACGGTATATAATAGAAAAAAGGGTCGAACTATTTCATTGTTGAATCTATAGGGTCTTTCGTTCCAAACAACGGTCAGCTTTGATCGAAGCCTCGAAAATGGGAGTCGACGAGAAGCCACTCGAAGTAGATTGACGAGGGAGTTGGTTCGAGTTGCCTTGAGCTATGGGGTCGAATCCGGGGTGGTTGCGATCTACCAGTGTCCTAGGACATTGTGGCCAGGCACAACGATTGCTCCCGAGGGACCTGACACCACGGTGGATCCTGAAAAATCAAACGGTTAGTTATTTACCATTTATCATTGTGAAAGATAATAATTTCTTTGAAATCTTCCATCTCTTTTCGACTGTATATTTTATTCTTGTCCAATAATTTTTAATTTTAATAGAAGTGAGAACACGAGCAGATAGGATGAACAAGTTACCAGCAGCCGGTCCCACGACGGCAGCAGAAGCAGCAGCTGGTCCAACCACGGCAGCGGAGCCCCCAGAGGGCCCAACAACGGCTGCAGATCCAGCGACGGGCCCGATGACTGCAGCTGAAGGAGCCACTGGTCCAGGTACCAAACCACCTAGAACTACGGCTCCATTGTGTCCCCAGCCGAGGGAACGGCGTTCGCGCTCGGGGGCGGCGGAAACGATGGCCAGAGCGGCGATGAGGACAACCTGCGGACATCCCGTTGGTAGAATTTAGTTTGTTAGGTAAATTGAACGCTATTGATTCTGTTCTTAGATAGAAATCTTATGGAACCGTTCTGTTGGATCACTGCCAAATAATTGAGCTTGCCAGAATATTCTGTCGGCGCAACACTGATATACGAAGTATGAACGATACGTATAGGCCATGAAATGTGATTTCTTAGATGAGATAGTGATGGAAACTCTTGGCAAGTGTACAATTCTAGGAAATAGTACAGGAAATATTAACGCTACGGTAATGGGAATATAAAGTAGAAAATTTAGGGCTTAAGTTTGATGATTAATTGTCTGTTTCTTTAACTCTTTCCCTGTAATTGCGAGATTACTACTTGGCTAAAGGGTTAAATTATCGATTTTACTGATTCTTACCAAGCACTTCATGTTGTTTGTTGCTTTAGTCTTCAACTGACTGGTGACTGATGCTCAACCCTCCTGACACACTGACTTATATACTCGATGGAGAACATCGAAGAGCTCGACGATGCAACCTTCAACCCTGTATGAAAGTAGGAATAAGAAACGAGTTAGGGTGCGGTCAACGATGGACGGGATCAGAGTAGGCGAGTTCCGGGTCCAACGTCATAGACGAGAACTGTTATCAACCTCGAACTATATACAACTTGTTGTAATAACGGTTCTGTTCCGAGGGAACTGAATTTTCCCCGATAGTAAGCAACGCAAACCGACCGTAGGTTTGCTCATGATCTCGTTCCGCGCTTATTCTCAGCACAAAACTTCCTGTATTCCCTATTCGATAAACGCTAACAACGTAACGGGGTAATTTGCTTAGAAACAATTGTTAACTGCCGAAACAGTCAGTTATTAACATTTTGGTTATCCCGTTGTTTCTCTGTTCATTTGAATGGAACTCGATCAGAAATTATCTGAGAATATTGTTATTTATTATTTGGAGCAATTAAGAAATATGGAAAGTTTGGAAAATTAATTTGAATTTCTAATTTATTTTAGGGTGAAAAAAATTCAGGAAAACGTGGGTCTTTGTAGAGATGGAGACGACTAACGACTGGAAGAGTGGAAACATTGATTTGTTAGAGCGAAAAGTTCGGATCACCGAGCAAGCATCATCTTTGGTTTAATATTCGAGTAACAGGCAAGAAGGAAGCGAAACTATGGAGCGAAACGAAGTTTTTGATTTATGACTTTGCAACTTCAACACGAGTTTCTATTGGAAACTTTAAATTTCTCATCAAGCCTAGACGTAAAATTATTTGATTAAATATCGTTCGCGAAATGCATCCTTCGTTACGTTACGTGCGAAGAATTGAAATTTCAAACAACCAGCGCAGTTAAACATCTAACGCTGAACCGATATACATTGTAGCTTGAAAATAAAATCAATTTTATTCCTGTAATAACATTTGAAAAAAGGGTTAAAAATGGAAAGGGAAGGATTTTCGATGGCGGAAGAGTGTCAAAAAAGGGTTCCCAATAACGTCGGTTTTCCCAAAAGGATCAGCAGCGTAAAAGTACAAACGAGCGTCGATCGTTCAACGGATGCAAAGCGAAATAAAACAGGCGAGGACTGTCGCATTCGTGTCAGCCTTTTATTCGCCCGCTCGTCTAACCAAGCATTTTTTTCACCCCTGTCCCACTGATTTCCACGATGACCCCCGCTGTAATTCGTCCTTTGAATCCGCCCGCCTGGAACAACGTAATTGCGCGCGGCGGATTTGTCAAGTTGGAAACGGCGAGCTTCGCGTCGGCTGCTCGAATTTACAGCCAAGTCTCGGTCCAAACTGTCACGAAACGCTATACTCTCCCCGAAACTTAGTAGGTAGAGCTTCCCCGTCGACAGAATAATCGGAGAAACTCGAGACTCGAATGTCTCGGCCTGAATTCACCTCTTCTTTGCTGGAAAGTTGGATCATTCAACGTGAAAACACTTGATGATAAGGTACGCAGAGTTCCTTTAAAAAAATATGAATTTGACAAAATAATTCATCCTTGATACTTTAAGAAATAACACACCTAACTGGATTGCAAATCACGAACGTTCCTTTAAACGCAATTACCGTTCGTTGCTTAATTGGAAACTCAAACGTAAATCGAACGTGTTAATTAAACATTATTTAGCCCTTTGAACGGTGGATGCAGATGGAAAATGAAAAATGAAAAACATTTCGTGGTTACACGCAATATCGACTATGATGTGTACGAACATGGACCTCGTTTCGAACACTGCATGCTCAACTATTTGCATTTAATTCTCCACTCGCATGCACGTTTACCAAGATCCGTCTGTTAATGTGATCCGTTCGGCCACTGCCAACGCTAACGCGTTAATTGTTTCGACCGCCTAATTACGGTTGCTGCTGTAACCGTTGTTACCTGTCATACCCGTGTTGAACAAGAAAAATTACCTCTAATTCTTGACTATGTTAGAGAATTGATTAAAAGGTGTATGAAATATATATCTTTGACATATATAGTGTAGCCTTAAAGAATAAATTGCTAGCATATGACTCCAGTAAATATTATTCTTTCATACTCTGTAAAAACGGTTGAAATATTTGAAGCAAACAAACTTACCGTCCCCTTTGCTGAAAAATTCATTCGCATCGAATTACTCGGATGCAGCGTTACATCGTGAAAAGCAGAAAATATTTTTCCACCCGACGTCATCGATCGTAAAAGTGTAAGTTTAAAGATGGCTGGCATATACATATGTATGTTCCGCGTCCGTGCACCTTTTCCCAATCGTCTCGGTGGTACGTTCCAAGTAGATACAAAAGATCGAAATATTTCAATTCGAGCCAAGATTCCTGAATAATTTTCACTCGACCTAGTCCCCCGTTCGTGGAAATATTAATCCGTGATTCGCGTCTAATAATCTATCCGTTATCCCGCGTTTCCCTCCAGAAGAATCGAACAACGAGCGGATGCGATCGGTTCGAGAAACAGAAGCCCGGTGGAATCGATGAAACGGAAACGAGATGGCGATAGAAAGTTCTCGATAATCGATAGTCTTTGATACAAAGAGCAGTAGGTGCATTGAAAAGAGTGGGCGCGAATCGAACGTGTATTCTTGAAAAGGGGAGCCCAGCCTCGAGCTCGTCACAAAGAAGCGAACTTTTCAATATCTCTCGCTCGGCATCGACTCTCGATGGCGTTTTCCCTAGGAAAACCCTCGGGAACTCCGATGATCCAGTGGTCCCTGGACGTGAATTCCAACGAGGATCACGTAAACCGTCCGCGGCCGGTTGCGAATTCGGCCTGCTACTGGCCGAATTTTACTTCCGCTTCGACACGGAAATGGCGAGGTAATGGAATAATAAAATGACCCGGCAGGTTAGCGAAGGGTCGCGAGAACGACGGAAAATGGAAAATCGCCGATCATCGAAATTGTTGCGTGGCCTGTGGCCTGTGGCCTGATTATCGAGCCCACCTTTAGCCTCGAACGGAGAATTTAGAATCGATGAAATCGTGTTAGATGGAAAAGCTATTCTAACGCTAATAAATCATATTTTATTGAACTATGATATTTTTGTCACAACGTCAATAATACTTGTTATAGAGAATTTAGAACGAATTCTAAATTCTAAACACTAAACAGTTATTCTTTTATTCATATGCAAACTCACATATTTTCACAATATTCGATACTCTCGATCAATGGATCATGTGTATATAAATTCTATCAATATTTATTGGAATCTTCATTATTGAATCGTGTATTCAAGCTCAGACATGCGTGTCACGATTGTTTGAAATACAAAACTCGATGTATTAAACAGGAATACACAATAGAATTAAAAATTCAATTGAATGTCTATTACGCTCGTGATTCCATTCTTTCGTCCTTTGTATTTAAACTATGCATTCCTTGCTACATTTTTCCCTATGCACTCTTCACGCATTATATTCTGAAAGCATTATTTTTTCAAAGCTCTCGCTCCAACGATAGCCTGAAATATTTTCACGATTTTATCAGGGTAACAATGTCACGCGGCTGATACGGCTCGTTGCTGACACTGATTATCGTGCTTGACATCTCGAAGTCCCATAAATCGGTCGCGTGCTCGCGAAGGACCGTTACAGATCCTTGAAGAGAAAATCCGTTCCACTCTCGTAACCATGAGCACGGTAGCAGTTCCAGTCGACGAAATAAAAAGGAAAAGGAAAACGAGAAAGGAACGGACGATCTGGGTAGTTGATCGACTACTTGTCAAACGCCGTACTTGACAGTGAACCGATCGTGACTGCATAATCGAATGGAACTCGCGCGGTATGCATTGTTCCACCGGTTTCGTCATCTCGTCGATTTTTCGCGTAGGCATCGTCGAAACCCGATGCACCACAGGTGCGTTTCATTTCCTCTTGCACTTGTTCCCCGACGGAGGTGTGCATTGAAATATTCATGAAGAGGATGCCAGATAAGGACGAGGAGTTGTCTAAGCGCGTTCTACAATTGCAAAATTGTTCGTACGTGCCTTTTCGTGTGGGTATATCCTTAACCCACCGACGCTGTTTCGACGCTGTTTCGACGCTGATTCCTGATGAATGAAGCGTACGCTTTTGGTGGAACTTGCGGTTGCAAAGATTTAGAAATTTTTGAAGATATGCTGTGAAAATTATCTTCTCAGTACAATTCCCTTTATTCGTTTATATGAGCTTACATAGTTCCGGTATGCATAGACAGTAATAGAATACAACTAGAATAAAAGTATAAAGTCGCCCTTATTATAATAGTGTTCGATTAGCCACGAGGTACATGGTTGATTTCAAGGCTCGTTTTCATACGTTACTACCAGTGACCGCCTCCAGTGACGACTGCAGAAGAAGAGGCACCGATCACCGCTGTTTTGGTAACAGGACCTGCGACGACCGCTGAAGTTGCTGGTCCAGCGACGACTGTGCCTGCTGCGCCGGCTAATACTGCGGGTGCAGCTAGTGCTGGGGAAACCAGGGCGTTACCTGTACAATTTATTTATTTATATATTGTTTCGGAGTCTTAAGGTAAAGGGGTAATTGAAGACGTACCAACGACGACGCTGCCAAGACCGGGTTCAGAGACGAGAGTGGGTCCAGCAACCGATCCAACGACAGCTGATGGACCAGCTACCGCTCCAGTGACCACTGCTGGACCAGCCACTGGTCCAGCTACCTTGACGGCTCCAGTTGCAGGACCAGCGACCACAGTTGATCCAACATGAGGCCCAACAACACCCACTCCACCCAGCAGCGGGCTCAAAATTGCGCTGGGAGCTGCTGCGCAGACCGAAGCGATCGCTAGGAGGACAACCTACATGGAAATATTGGAAAATTTCAAATCTTCTTTTATATTACAAGAATAAAATAAAAATCAAATTGAAAAGCTTACCAAGAATTTCATGATTGCTGCTTTGTTCCTCGGCTATTACCTTTTATCAGACTAATTGCGAGACTGCCAATTAACCCCGTGATATCTGCTTTTATACACCGTTCTGACCCTGAATATCCCGGTTTCTTGTCGTTTTTTGCACGAGGAAATGTCACACCATCTATTTCCATATGGAAGAATTTCTTCTGTACATGTATGCGTGAGGTATTAAACGCCAGGACGAAAAGACGCGACGTAGTATCGCGGATGTGCGGTGTCGGCACGCGGTTTCAGGATTCGTTGCGTTCCTTGTCTTGATTTAATTCATTTCAAATGATAATATATTTCAAAATTCTTAGTAGTTCTAAATGTACATTACTGATAAGTGTAGTTCACGAATTGCGAGTATCTCTATGTGATTATTGAAGAACAGCTAGAAATTTCATTCGCCTCGCTACACGTAAGTTCCAAAATAATTTAATGAATTGCTTTGAAAATTTCTAAATCGTTAAGTGAAGAATAGCCTTAAGTGAAGCTACCCTTTGAAGATACCCTGTCACAATCGTTAGAATTACAAAAGCTATGAACAGTTTCGAAAACTCGAACAATTTTAATTCCATCTAAGACGTTAATTAAGCGTCCAAGAGATACGTGCAAATATTTGCTGTAATAGTAACAGGGATAAAAGGCATCGAAGCGTGCTGTGTTATTCATCTACTTGAATTTCATATTCGGCACGCAACCAGTGCTTCGCGTTTCCGTTTAATGGTGGTCACTTCAGCAGTTGCACGGTTGGAAAGCGTCCGATTTAACGACTGGTCGTACTTGTTGCTGTGCGTCTAGGAACCACGAACCACCGGGACGAACCGAGTGTCCCTTTGAAATGGTAATGCAAGCTAGCATGGCGCTAATAATTTCCTACGGGAGTCCTTCGGGATCCGAACGGAACTCGCGGCTACGAAAAGGGTTCCGTGGTGCATCTTTGCCGGTGCATTTCCCACCGGGGCGAACACGATTGAAAACGGAGATTAAAGGGGGTGTACGCGAACTATGCGAAGTGGTGCTCGAGAAAGCGGTGAACAAAGCTGCGATGGAAATGCTCGGATATCACAGTTGGCTCTGTTTAGTCGACCCTCTGACAGACAGAGAGAATACCCGGCTGATTGGAGCGGTGTTGAAGCAATTTCCTACAATTACCGGCGAAGGTGGACAGGTATCGTCCCACCGCGTACAACGACGATAATACAATGGCTCGTGAAATGGGGAACGGTCGACGTCACAGTGCCCGACGGCCTTGCGGACGATAATATCCCGACTAGAACAATAGCCCTCCGATCTATGCCACTTTAATCGGGAACCAACGTTGACACGGTCCCGCCAACGGGTTACGTGTCTACTCTCTGACTTGTTCGTTGGGAAATTGCTGTAACACCGAGGGTGTAACTTTAATCCTTCTTCCTACCCAGTTTAATACTTTTCAAAGATCTATTTTTATTACTCTTGGGTCATTTGTCGCTTAGACAAATAGGGTTTGTCCATCGAACCTGTTCATTACCGAGCAAACAAAGATAATTCTGAAATTCGAGTGGTTGGTGTGCTCAACAATCGCAATAACACCGTTAGGACATTTCCATGTTCGAAACTTTGTGAAACACTATTCTACCGGCCACGGTATTTAATCTTCTACTCTCGACAACTTTGCGGCCGCATTAAGCTAACTTGTTTACCAGTAATTGAAATTTGCAGTGCAACATTCGCCCATAATTGCTGCATTATGCACTTGGTAATAATAATTAAGCTTTGTATACGATTTAAATAATTGTTCAACTGCATTTTATAGAAGGGACGTTGAAGCTTACGATTAAATTTGCAACCATCCATTTCCTAAAAACGTTAATGTTGAAAATGTTTGAAATTTAAAAATAATTCTGTGAAATATTATTTAACTATTATTCGAAATAATGCGTAAGGGTTGAAGGGGTTGATCGCATAATTTCTATGAACAAAATTATTCAATTCCTCTCCAAAGTGGCATGCGTTTATTATAACATAATATCATATATGAAACATTGTTATGTACACAGAATACATATAAGAGATATAATGATGGAGGTACTAGCGGTAAATGAGGGAGATCGTGGCGCGGTCGGTTTCAAAAATGGCAGGCATCGGAGATCAGTCGAAAATGTCGTTGGTGATGGAGGTCCAGCGTAGGGTGAATTACCAGTGTCCGTGCGCACGGACAATTCCACCGACTCCAGCTGCTCCAGCCGCTATACTGCCGGATGGTCCGGCAATAAGCGCTGGGGCGGTGATGGGACCAGCTAAAGCTGCAGCAGGTGACACTGGACCGGACAATACTGCTCCTAAAAACAAACCGCATCGATGTGTTATAATTTCACAATTTACATCTGCCGCAAATGCAACACAGTACGGACAACCGACAACCGTCGCTAGAATAAAAATTAAACCACGCATGGTTCAATTTATCGACCATTGTGAAAATCATTGCGATATGTTCCTGAATTAGACACGGTCATTTCTGTCTAGGAATAAATAAAACGTCGACACGATGTAACAAAGTCCAATCAAAGATAACAAGCTATTCAGAAGCCTACGAATTTATACGATCGCTTACCCCATCCTGCGTGACCCCATCCGGGTGCAGCGAGGCCGGGCCAGCCACCATGTCCAGAGACGCTACCGGAAACGACCGATGGACCAGCCACGGCTCCAGTCACCACAGCGCCACCATCGACCGCTCCGGAGAGGCGAGCAGGTCCGACCACCGGTCCGGCAAGGGCTGAGGGTCCAAGAATCGGTCCGCTAAGAGCAGCAGGGCCCAAGATAGGTCCAGCCAGTGCAGCACCCGGGGCCAACAGACCGGATGGTGCTGCTGCTACCGCCGAGATAACTGCCGCGAGGAGGACCGCTACGAGGGTGCACATGGTACAGATTGATTGCTGAAGGGTTTCGAGTGTTGGCGAATTGCTGGAAGCGTTGCTTCGATGGCTGAAGTGGATGTGCTGACATCGAGCTGGCTCGATGGTGCTTTTATAGGGGCATTGTCTACGGCGTCGGGTCTATTGCTCCCGCCAACCCCAAGGGCGGGGCACAGGACACGCCAAACATTCTCTGCGGCCTAGGCGCGTGGCTGTATCTCCGCTTATCAGCATTAACACAGTCGGCGACACACGAGCGACGCTTAACGCCTCGCAGCCCGCCCGTGCCTAGCAGGTCGCCTGTTCCAATTCAGATCCGCGTTGCATCCGTTTCACCGATGTTTTTTTACGCCTTACCTTCAACCTTGTGTCGCGCATACCATTCTTTCGATCGTACTGGACAATCTGTTTCTAAGTATCTAATTAGTAATCAAATTTAGAAATAGACTCTTTAGGGTGTTAGCTTGGTAATATTACACTCTTATACATTTATATAATTCAAGTAAACTCTAACAATAAATATTTGCAGTTTTCAAAACTTTGCTTATCTGATACTCTTATGAAGCTATAAGAAAAAAGTCTAAAAAAAAAAATGATCTCGATTCTTTTAAATATTTGATTGGTAATTAAGTTCAGAAATAAACTTTTTAGGGTTTTATAATCTAAGCATCCCTAATAATAAATATTTGTATTTTTTCAAACTTTCCTTATAAAATGTTCTTATGAAACTATAAAAAAAAATATGCAGCCTATGAATTGCAGCATCAATGCAAATAGCGATCCTCAATTTAGAGATAATAAAGTTATCAACATCAGCTCGAAGATACCTATGTCATCGCGACCTTCACAGAAGAAGACCAGAATCGTCTGTTCACTGTCTTTTTCGTTCATCAGACGAAGAGGTATGGAAATTAGGTGAACGCGTTGACAGTATATTTGTGACACATTTGCATTGTACATCCGTTTAGGCGAGGCACGGGTTGCGTAGCCCACGCGTCGTCCATGGGTCGCAATTGTCGCCTGGAATGACGATCTCATTGTCATAGACGAGTGTGTTACAGTGGCAGCAGCCTAGTAATGGATTATCGACCATGCCACGGATCGTTTGGAATATCATTGTTGGGCGTTGCGTGCACTTTCGAAGGTGCAAAGGTGACCGGAGACACGATTCTTTGAATAATTCTCCCTCCGTTCCGTGAATATCTACCGAGGGCCGATTCTTAATGACACGACTCGTTTACAAAACCACGGAAGACCCGCGAATCATGTTATCTAGAAAAAAACGCAATTATTCTAGAATATTTATCTCTGCCTTCAGGAATTTTTCTAATTCGTGGAAATGTTTGAATTTTAAAAACGAACAATGGATATTTAACATTTAAGGTAGTTTTGATTGAATTTTCCTGTTTCAATGCAATGTGTTTTAATTATAATTTAAAATATGAATAAATTGAAAGTAAAATTGAATCGACTGAATTTTCCCATTCGAACGTGATGCATTCATATTTTTATTATAATTTAAAATACTCGCTTTATACAAAAAAGCAAAAAACAAATACGTGAAATATAAAATGAAATCAATGGTAATGTATTTCATTGTACCTTTTAATTTAAAATAGGAGTAGCTAACAATCGAAGATCGAATCAATGAAATAATTTATTATCGGAGTATGTGACAGATATTTGAATCACAACGAGGGCCGATTGTTATAAAGTTCTACAAACGTCAATCGAAGTGTTCGTAGATAAAAGTGAAAAAATGTACTGAAACGTTGACAGACGTGTCACGGGTATGTAGATAGATTTGAATCGATGGTGTTCATTTTCGTCGTTGATATAACGCTCATCGTTCTGTCGCTTAACCGCTTAACGTTACAAAGTCGGAAACGGGGTAGAATAGGATTATTAAAGCCGTTTAAAAAACGTGAATTGCGTGGACTGGTTATCCATCGGTCGTATAACGTTTATCGTTGACCATGGTAATTTGTTCCAACAGACAACTGTTGAAAACGTTGCGGAAATTCGATCCCCTATTTCCAGTCAATAACCAAATTGTTTTACAGCGAAACTGTAAATGAATGGTATATGCGATTATTACAAGTTACAATTAACCCTTGCGTTAATAATCGGATATCTGGTTAGCCCCAACGTGGTCAGTCCACGTTGATGTTCGATTATTTATTATGTTCCTATTGGAATATCTGAAAATCTCTTGAGGCTCCCTCCGTTATGAAATAATAATGGGTTAACTCTATACAAGGGTTAAAGGAAAATATGGGTATTTCAAAGAGTAGCAAATTTAGAATATTTCGTGTGAAAGGGTATAAAATTTAAAAAAATTCAATCTATTTTACAGACACATTGTTCCAGAAGGCAGATACCATTTTTATTTTCCCATTGGGTGTGGTATCGGTGTGTCCGATTCGATCCGACATTGCGTCATGCGGTTGACACCTTTTTACAACGAATGATCGAGCTTTTCCACCCCGTCACGGTCGAGCAGATCATTGAATCAGCCCCGCCCTTACCCCCGATAAGTTCACCGACCCACGTGTTCGCGTATGGTACCTATAAAAGCTCACTTAGCATCAGCTTGTACGGCAATGTTCCCCCGTGATGCCTGATGGAAAGTCGTTGCTCGGAATCTCGGTAGCCACTGTCTTCTGATCTCGAACGTATCATGGCTGTCGATCGAAGGAAAGAAACAGAATCGTCCTCGAGTCATTCTTGAATCGTAGTTACGTTTTTCAAACCGGGAATTTTTTCGTCATGGATGGAAGACGAATGCAGACGATGGCCAACCGAATACGACGTTGCTCTAGGTAAGCAGAAATTAAAGTTTACGTTCGTTTGAAGATATTGGCATAACCAGGATTTCTATCTGGGATGGCTAGGATAGCTAGGTTTATTATTTCGAATTCGAAATCAAATTTATCTCTATTATAAATTTCCAACGCCACTAGCCGGTTGCCTGGTTACGCGAGTACAATGGTTGCTGTGGTCGAAACGAGTTGCCGGAGACGATCGAAAATCGGCCACGTTTTCAAACTTCCCGACAATCGAGGAATTAGACTAGGACGTGTACAAAGCGTCCCGCGTTTCTCAGTTCCTGCGGTGCTACGGGTACAGAGAACGCTGAAGTATGAAGCGTGGAGGGCCAGATCGCGATGTGAATAACGATCGAGCCGTGTACGAGAGCACGGGCGAGATTTATCCCCTCGTTTCTCGACCGATTCTCTGACCCGAGAACCCGCCCTTACCTACAATATAAATATCCTCTGGTTCCTTTTGAAAAATCGCCACTTATTTTTCCTCTTTTCCACCGATCGTACAGGATCCTGTCAATGTTTAATTATCCACGTTCGATTCGTATATACTTATCAAGGAATACCATCCTCGAGTATTCTTAACTGGACTGTTGATTTTTGTATTTCTCAGGCGATTCACGGGTCATCGACGTACCAGAAGACCGTCGAAGGATCCATCGATCGAGCTTCCTTGATACCCGGCAACTCGTCAGACGTTAACGATCCAACCAGAACCGATATCTACCTCGTTATCGACCACACCTCTCGTCATTCTTGCCTGCGGTCCGCGAGCAACGCGAAAACAGTCGGACAACCTTCTTGCTTTATATCCGGCAGAGATAGATCCCGTAGAATGCCAACGGTAGCGAACTATCTGTCCGCTCGTAACTCGGATCGCAATTGATTTATCGCGATCAATCGATCACTATTGTTAGTCAAACCATGGGTTAATCAATTTGACGGGAATAATTTTGGCTGTTTAATTAAAATTTGAAATTGTAATAATGACTTATTAAAATTGACTGAATTGCAAAATACAAAATGATATTAAATAAATATATAAGAATGGTCAGCTGAAACAATATATTTGAAATCAAATTTGTTCTCTCGTTTTTAATTTCACGGTACGCAAACAAGTAAACTAACGCACAAGGAACGAATAACGAATCGTTCATAACGAAATTTGCCTGGTTCGCTCCTAAATTAGAACGCGTCGGTTGTTTCTTTCAATTCCAGCCGAGCATTGTTAAACACCCTGTTGAATAACCAATGATAGTCATTAATTTCTATAAACAATGCGTATGCATTCTGAATAATTAGTATCAAAGGCAATTCAACGATAAACAAGAAACATTATTAATTCTGAAGAGCACTAATTTGTGGAGAACATATTAAATCTTCTTGCTGGAAAATGATCAGTTTTCTTCATTATCGCAGAGGATTGAAAGAAATAAAAATTCGCGTTCGATTTCTTTTTCCGTAATTTTGAAGTTATTATTTTTTAAATATTTGCAATGATAATCTTTTCTCAGATTAAGAGATGATCCATGAAATTAAATTTAGAAATCCGAAGAAGGGTTAAAATCTATTTCTTGTACTTGTATTTTGAAAAAATAAATCTTTCAAATATCGCTGTGATCCAAATTTATATATTTCCCTTTTATCTGGGGGACGGTCTAGTAACCTTTTAGAATTCGTGAACTTTTGATGCACTGTTGTAATCGATGACGTAAGGTAAACGAAGAGCCACGATTTTCCCACCAAGATGATATCTTATTCTTTGGTCCCTTCGTTGATCCTATTATCACGAAATTCTCAGCGATTCTGGCAATAGATCTTATAGACAAACAGCTAGTTCCTTATAATTCTCACAGTCTCGGGAATTTTGTGATAAATCGTTCATAGATTATATTTTAGAAACGGCGCGGAGACAAAAATGATCTCGGTGGGTGAAATCTCTGGCGGGGATCACGGTGACCTTAAAGAACTAAGCGGTAATTGTCGTGTTACAGATTCCCTGATAAACTCTGCGCTCGTGAACACCGAAAGATAACGTTGACAATCTCGTGATCTCAGCTGTGACCTTCTGTAAATTACGTCCCCCACGTTGGCTACCTCGCCATTATTCAAATAGGCATGATTAGAACACCTGTGCTTGATGGCCAAAGTAAAAATTCATTTTTACTCCTTTCATTTGATTCCGATCTAAAGTCAACTATGGAATGCGACATTTTTATAATTTTTAAAAATTTTTTATTTTAAATTTTGTAAAAGTTCTGGGCAATAATTTTGTTCCAATGAACACTGATTAAAAATTGTCAAGTCTTCGCCAATTTAACGTTCAAAATCGCCTAATCAGCAATACCAGAGCTCGTGATCAATCAGATATCGATCTGATCCTGCCGATTGTCGCGTTTATTCAAGATTGACGAACCGTATCGTAGTTCACGCTTCTAACGACCTTACCCTTTTCTCCAGCTGCCTATAAATCGTTCCAGAAGTGCCTGCATTCGTGTTCCCCGTTCAAAAGCGACTCTAGTTGCTTGTTCGTTTAATTGTCACCTCGCGTAATCAGGGCCAAACGTTACTACGATCTACCAAGGTATTTCAGAAACGAAAAGTCATCGATTAGGGTCTCGAATCGATCGTGCGAGACGCGAAGCGTTAAAACAGTCGTAACGTGGGTTAATTTTCCAAATTAGACATTTCTTTTTAATCTCCTCCGACAGACACGCAGTTTGTTTGAAAGATATTTTCGTGAAAAACTGCATTATACATAATTACTGTATAATGATTCTCCAATCACTTTGTAGCTCGGTGAAAATGGAACCTTTAATGACGTTAAAGCAAACCAATAAAGGTGAAGCAGCGTTCGATGCTTTCCCGTAGAATGCGAAATGTAATTCGATAAACGCACATGGTATATCGAAAGTTATCGACGTAATGGTCTGTAATTAAATCATGTACGTGTAATTATCGTAAGAGATCATAATTATTGTTACACTATAAATAGAGAGCCATCTAATATCTACGTCACAAACTATCTGCAAAAAGGTATTTAAAAGAGAAAAACAATATTTAATGTTATTTTATCAAAACGGGGATCGTCGTGAATTGATTTTAAGATTCATCTGTTGTACAATGTTACTTTCACTGATACTTAGCACGAGTGTGTACAAAATCAGCCTAATTATCCGTCGTGGATGTTATCGAGAGATTTCCATGGATATCTTCTTTCTTTCAGCAGCTCTGGTCGTTACCAGTGACCGTGACCAGTGTGAATGCCACCGTAGCCAGTACCGTGGGCAATGATCTTCCCAGAGGGACCAGCAATCACTACTGAACCAGCGTTTGGACCGGAAACCGCAGCGCTTCCCGAATGGGGACCAGCGAGGACCGCACCGTGGGACGCTGGACCTGTGAGCACTGCTCCATAGGATGCTGGTCCTGCTAGCACCGCACCATGGGACGCTGGTCCTGCTATCACTGATCCATGTCCACCGTGTCCGCCGGGTCCTGCGTAGCCTGCGTATCCTCCGTATCCTCCGTATCCTGCGTAACCGTACGCTGGTGCAACGTATCCTGCGAATGCAAAGGTAATTTTATTAAAATAAATTGTAGATAGAAAATATAATGTTATTGTATTTTTAAGCATATTTAAAAAAGATTGAATATTGATGATATCTATGAAATTTAAGTGACTTACCAACTGCTCCCCCATAGGGTCCACCATAACCTTCGACATGAGCAGGGCCAGCAACGGAAGCTGTTACCACAGCAGGACCAGCAACTGCACCGGAAACGTGGACCGGACCAGACATCGATCCAGAAAGCCTAGCTGGACCAATCGATGGAGCAGCTACAACAGTGGCTCCCAAGTGAGGACCAGCGACACTGGTAGGACCCAAAGCTGGACCAGCTAATGCTACACCGTGAGAGTATCCCAGATGACCCCCATAGTGTCCCAAATGACCACCCCATATAGCTTCACGGCGCTGGCGAGGGGCTGCTCCGACAAACGCGCACGCAGCTGCTATTATCAGCTGAAAATCATAATAGGATCATGGTAAGTGTTCAGTTTTTGAAAAATAGAAACTTCCATTACTGTTTTTCAATTATTTCATTCCAAGGCAATCGACACACTTTAAGGAAATATTAAAATATCGAGGGATATTTTTCAAACTCGAAATATCACAGTTTTTGAAATCACAACTGATAGATATAATAGGTTCACCAAAATTTTTCGAGCAATTCCCAAGTCACTTGGAAAGCTAGAAAAATGTTCGAATATTATCGGTCACTGAAAGAGCCGCGACGCGTAGAAAAATCCAGCGGATCCCGGACCGTGGGATCGAGTACTTACGAAGACCTTCATCCTGCCGACCGCCGATTGCTGAATGTGCCCACGGACGACTCTCTCGGACTTTATATACTTCTCTAAGAACACGACCGCGCCCCCGGTGATCCCTTCAAATCATATCCGTTGATGGTGTAGCCTCAGCCATTGTGCAAGAAGGTCACCATCCGGCACACCCACCCTCGAGACACTGCCTCCCTTGGCCGACCTTCGTCTTGGGAAACAGTGATTTTCGCTCCTCGAGGAATCCTATGAATTTTTTCTTCTCTCATTGTCCCATCACTTGAATCTTGAATAGTAAGAAATTTCAACAAGGAAAAATGTTCGTCCGGAGCCAAGGAATTTTCGTAATTCTCTAAGAATACAGGAAGAACGTTTTCCACGGTAGACAAATGACGCGGGATGAGCGAATAACGATTTGTAAATTGGTTCGATCGATGGACGGGAAATGTTCGGAGGGTCTTTCAGCTTGTCTGGTCGATAAAATCGTATTCCCGTCACGAGCTCGATTTATCCGAAGGAAGTTCGGTAACGAGAGAGCATCTTTCGGCTGGTGGAACTTTTTCAAGTCGCAAAAGGATGTCGAGTACCTTTTGTTCGCGGACCGAGTTTCGATCGTTTCGTTGCACATCGAATTGGGCAACGAGTTTCTCCTCGTCGTCGTAACGTTCCATTCAAGCTCGACAGGGTGTTACAATCCCTTTAGGCGATTCGTAACTTCTGCACAACTTGCTGGAGCCGATGAAACAGTCGGTTCGTTAAAGAACGCGGTAAGAATGAAATTCTTTTGAAGAAGAGAGACCGGGATAGGGATATAGAAGGGTATGTCACAGGATGGAAGATGAATGGTGGTCGCTTGGTACGGAACAAAGGAATCGATTACGCGAACGCAAAAGCGGTGTAATTAGCGTAATTTGCGATTTCACTGACGATAAAGGGGAGGAATAACGAGTTACCGATCGCAGGCGTGATCTTCTACCTACGGTATAATTGGCCTGCATGTTTTCAACGCACTAACATTATTCCTCGTTATTATCCTCTTATTGCGTCAAGTGTCTTGCGTGGTTCTCTGACCTCTCGTTTTTTCTACAACTTTTTTTCTTTGACTTATTGTCTTGTGGATAATTAAGGATTGAAAAACGTGATATTTAAAATTTACTCAATTCTTCGACCCGTTTAGGATCGATAACTATGTGTCTCTTGTAAGGGGAGTGTTAATGGATGTTGATGCAACAAATATTTAGGATGTACAGAAAACATAGGAGAAATTACAAGGAGACCTTTGCTTTGTATCTTATTCAGATTCTTGATAAGATTCAATGTTTGTTACATTCGAAGTGGGTTAGTTAACACGTATTGTTCTCGTTTCATCGACGTTCGTCGAAGGCATCGAAAAATCGTGGGCGGCGAACCGCGTCATCCTCGTGAAGTGAAGCAACCGATCGCTTAGTTGCACCGAGTCTACAGTTAACATTACCGCTGGGAAAGAGTCACGTTCTCAGGGATTAATACGGTTTTCTTTGCTATGTACCGGCTGCAGACGAAGCTGCGAGCGTGAGCGTGCCGAACGTGACCTTTATTCCTGGTAGCCGCCAGGAAAGATTGCTCCAATTATCCTGCGACGATCGATGCTCCTCTGTCCTGTTCAATTAAAAATCTCCTAATTTCATAATTAACTACCGAATGAAAAATTTCGATTTTCTTCAGAAAACATTGGTGATCTTTAAAATGGAGATCCTTAAATTTCAAAATCTCTTTTATTAGAATATCAGCTATTGACCACTATTTTTGCAAATATTTGAACGTCTGAAATATAACAAACGTTTTCTTCAAAAAACATTGGTGATCTTTAAAATGGAGATCTTTAAATTTCAAAATCTCTTTTATTAGAATATCAACTATTGACCACCATTTTTGCAAATATTTGACCGTCTGAAATATAACAAACCAAATATTCTGCTCTGTGAGTATCGATCGCGGTCAAACGCAAATCTATAATGACCTTTGCGCACGATCATCAAACATTCAGCTCTATCGATACAGTCAATTACTGTTCCATTGCGTCCACGTTTCTTTATGAGAACCGATCTACCGATCTTCGAATTTATTGCCATTGTAAGATCCAGTTGGATTAATGTGAGAATGCCAGTGAACACCGCGACAAAGTGTAACGAGTAGCGGGACCTTTGCTCGACTTCCAACGAGATATTATTTACAGGACAGTTTACATCGACGGTCTATATAAGGAGGGGACAATCTGGTTTTGAAGTTCGTAAACGATAACACTGGAGATGGGGAACGGCCGTCCTGGAGATTGAACGTGATCAATGCTAATGGTGAGACTGACATTTGCAGTCATTGTCTGCGCTGCATCGGTGATTCTTATGGGAGCAGACTAGCCTACTGAATCAATTCGTTTCCCAATTTCGAATTTCTTTGGCTCGAGTGCTCTGTAATATAATTGAAGAGGAAGAAGGAATAAATTGAATGGTCTCTTGGAAAAGTTGTTCGAATTTATATTAGCAACTTAGAAATTTATTTGAAGAATTTTATTATACAATTGATGGATTTAAAAAATACTTTTGTGGTTTGCTAATTTTCATCGAAACGTAGAGACAGTAGCGTTTCCGTCCATAAATCACCGTTACACGGACGACTTGTTTGACCATAAAGGAGAAACGTAATCGGTAGTCGAGCGAAACGCTAAATTATGTATGAACACTCGTATCTCCTTCGGCCAGAATGATACAGCTTCGACACGCAGATGGACGAGCTACTGTGTCCCATCGAAACCTTTCGTCCACTTCACGAAGACTGCATAAATTCCTAATTTTATCGTCACGTTTCATCTCATCGAAGACAGATCGGTAAACTGACTATTAATCGTCCGATTCCATCACGGCAATTCCCGATGCAGATGGTTCGGATCGCCTTCTTTGCATGTCGCTAATTGAATATTAATTTATAGCCTGGTTCGATGATTGCCGTGTTGAAATTTCGAAGTACTTTCACCAGTCTGAATATAAAGAAACTAAGGAATTTTAATTTAACGTAAAGCGTAGCTAAAGAATTCAAGAGATTCCAATTTCCTTTTTAGAAAATTTTCATTTATGCAACGAAGGGCACCGAGTTTAGCCCTTGAAGTGGTTCCCAAAAGAAAATCGATGTAAAATCTGCAGTTGTCTCGAAGCGTTAATCCGTGAAGACAGAGGAAGCGGCCTTTCCAGTTCTATCTGGAGTGCAATCGAGAGGCGAACACTCGAGGTGCGCACGTGAGAAGGGAATCGGTCTCATCAGTGACGAAATGACCTTGGTAGCAAAGAGCTGGCACAGCACGCCTGGTAAGCAGATTCTTCTGGGAACCGATCGCACACCCCCGAACGGTGAAAGGACCACGCCTGCACCGGTACGACGATGCGCCACGCCAACCTTCTTCATCCGCTTTCAGTCCGCGTCAATTGCGAAACTTTTCTATGATTTACGACCAATTAAATTAGCATCCATTCCCATTTCGTCTACCTTTGCATCTAACAAGAAAACATATCGAAAAATAAGGGACACGTATTTTTTTATAGCTGCCCAGTTGCAAGTTTAGGGGATGAAATCACCCCTTAAAGTTTGAGCAAAAGAATGGTACCTCGAAAACTATCACAGATATAAGAAAATCTCTTAGGGAAAGATTTCGTGGTTTCTTGAGGTAAAACAAAAAGTGGTCACAGATTTTGTAAAAAGTAATTTGTTTGTAACACAAAATTTCTTATTGCCATAAGAAACCATGAAACTTTTCCCTAAGATATTTTCTTATATCTGCAATAATTTCCGAGATTCCATTTTTCTACTGAAACTTTAAGGAGTGATTTCACCCCCTAAAGTTGCGACTGGGCAGTTATAAAAAAAGTACATGTCTCTTATTTTCACTTCGATATGTTTCCTTGTAAGACATTACAGCAAAATGTGATATCATTTATTACAAATCCCCTCTGGGCTCATCAAAACATATTACAAGTACACTCGGAACGTGTTGAAAGCTGTGTATAACTTCAAAAACAAGACTCGAAACGAACGAGCAAACTACAAACGAAGACGCATCACGGTGAAAGTGTACAGCTATCTCTGAGAGAAAATTCGGTCGCAGAAGCAGTGCAGTGGTGAATCGCTGGAAATGGCTCGTAAGAGGAGCGTGCAAGTTGGGGGGTTGTTTACAGCACGTACTTAAATGACTGCTTTAAGAGATGATCCAGCTCGAGGATTCAGTTGTTGATCTCGCTATGTGCTTAGAGGGAACACGACGACAAAGAGCCGCTTTTCTGCTCGCGTGAAACGAGTTAAAAGCCTTGCTCCTCATCGTTTTCCTTTAATCTGTACCGAGGAATTAGCTCAACCAGATTGCATCTTTTAATCGCGTGAGAATTTTTTAGGACTGCCTTCATTCTTAGGACGATTTTATCTAGAATTCGTCCAATAGTTTTCATTTCTTCTTGGAAAATAAAATGAAGAGTTATTCAATTTGACAAGCATCGTGTCTCCATCGAGGGTTGAAATGTTTTCTCGTTTTAAAATAAAATCTCAGCCTTTCCTTTGTTGAAGTGCTTCCGTTCTTGCGTCGGACAGTTACGGAGATTTTGACAAACAGACGCTTTCGAAGAATGATAAAAAACGCTTCTTCGCCTCGTCTCGGACGATCCGCTTTACCATCCGCTAGTAGATTTAGTCGAGTTGTGCGGGTTAGCACGCACTCGATGCTTTTTATTTTATTCGCGGTCAGTTGCAGAGCAGGAAAATCCTGGACCACCTAGTCCGCTGGTACTCGTGAACCTGGAAGAGATTTAAAGCCCTTTTAGCGACGGTTAAAGCCGTATTTGTGGCCGAGTCGGATTGGGAAGTTCGAACCTCTTTTCCGCGTCGAATAGGATGGGTCAGCAATGGACGATCAGTTTTCCATTTGATTAGAATCCTCGGTTTCAATTTTCCCATGAATACTGCTTAGCCCGTGGTCTTTTTTCAAATCTGTTTAATAAAGCAACGATATTGTTATTATGAAATAAATAATGAGGAAAGTTGACGTTTAGAATAATTGAAAGGATTTTACCATGATGTTGTTGTATCGTTTCAGTGGTCTGGATATTGTTTCACAAAGCACGTCTGTGTCCTTTTGTCCCTTAACGATTCGTAGCCGACCTATCACCCTCTGTAATCATCGAGGAACCAATTACCGTTTTCGAAGTGTCGTGACGTTAGAAAGAGGAACGTTGTGGCTTACAAAGTTACCTTTGTGAGCGTTCTGTAACGTAACACTGTGCTATCTTCGTCAGAATAAATTTTGAATATCGAGATGTCATCGACGACCATCTTGGTGAAAATTTGTCCAAGTGTCTTTTAAAGAATCTGAGGTCCAGGATGTAGTTCGGTGTTGAAAAATGATTAGCTGAAATATTAGGAAAATTTGTTAATTATAAAATTAAAACGAGATATACAATATTCTAATTGATTGAACTTGTACCAATGTTTTATCCAAATTGTCGAAAACATGCTAATGAAAGGCGATAAACGTTGATTAACATTCATGATTATGTATTCGGCAGGCTTGAATTGAAAAGAATAGTGTCTTTTATAATTCGAAGTTTTTAATCAAAATACATATTTCATAAGTGAAAGGTAGGACAGGATGAAACGGTCTAGCCACTTCGTCTCAACCAAATTATCTTCCATGAATTATTAATAATCCAGCCTTATTTCGTAGCAGTTTCTCGACACCGATTAATGTAACTTTCGTCTGCACCAGACTCCGTTTCCTCGTTATCTTTATTCCATCTTTTCTGATATCTCTGTTGACCCGTGTCGATTTTCTTCATCGTCTCGTGAGACTGTCAAACATTCGCCTCGACGACTTTTATATCCGATATCACAGAAGAACGAACTTTTCCAAGTTATTTTAGCTTTCTATCTTCTTCCAGTACCCTTCGATAAAGTTATCCCCTCCCCGGGAATCGTACGGAACGACTTGAACAGTGAGAAAATCTTTCCACTTAATTCACATTTCCACATCGTTGAGTATTTATTAGCTCACTCGACGATTGGTTTCGTTTCGAAAGAACATTACAAGTTTTTCGAAATTTCAGTAATTTTACAAGGGTCATTTAACACGTTCACTGTCATGGTAATCATTTCTGATCATCACTGTTTACTTAATTTATTTAAATAATTAAAAAATTCTAAGTAATAAACTGATTACTATTAGTAATTTGATTAGCAAACTAATGCTTGATATTTTGATTACCACTTATAGCCACTAACCATCAAATTGTTAATACACTTAATAATAGATTAATTGAACACTTTAATTAACGCTTGTATAAGCAGCCGAATATAATATTTACAATTTTTATTTTTTAAATGCAAAAGTATTCAAGTACTGAATATTCGAAGAGATTTCGCAATAATTTCTGAAGAGCATTAGACAATTGTACAAAGGAAAAACAGAAATTGATTAGGTAAGGGTTAAATATGGGTGGAGATAATGAAATAATCAGAGATGAGTTTTAAATACTGATGCTTTATTTTATATAAAGTATTGTATAAATGTATAAACGCTATAAATATGTGGTATCTATCTATGGTGGTGGTGGGGTGCTAGTCGTGATCGCAAAGAAAGGGTATGACGAGGGCGGGCGGGGTCGGGGGCCGGCAGCGGCGCGCCATCTATTTACATTCATTCACTCACGGGAAGGGCTGACCTACCATAATCTACCGGTCTCTCTCTTTCGCTAACATATAACACGATTATATAATATATGTGTAATGTGTGTATATATACGAGTACACATATAGCAATAGTGTGTGTGTGTGCGCGCGTGTGGCAATGCGTTCATGTATATATATATACGCGAAGGAAGTAATAGTAATAGTATGTATACATGTATATATATATATAAAGAGAGAACATATATATGCGCATGGACGAGTAATGTAAATAATAATATGTATGCTTGAGAGTGCGGCAGTGAGTATAACAACTTGTGAGACCTATTTCTAACGAACCTATCAGGATCGGTAGCGTTCGGTCTCATCGGAAGAGAGAAAAGAAAAAAAAGAGAGAGAATAGTAAATATATGTGTGTGTGAAGAGCGGCGGCCTTACGATTGGTGGAAGACGTAAGTGAAAATAAAAAAAAAAATATAAGAGTGCTGCCGGAGCAACGGTGGGTGTTCAGAAAACAGAACAGACCCAGTTGGTCCAACGACGAAGCGCCAAAGCTTGTCCACTTTGGATCCATGGCGGAGGCGGCCGGGTCGAACGTGTTTCCGTTGTTCGTTTTACTTGTTCGTTCTGTGTGTTGGCGCGACTGACTCAGGATCGTTCGTAGGACGAAAGCATCGACCGCTGAACCAATTGCCGATCGTTTCGTCGATCGGGCTTTGTCGACGTGATAGATCGCGACGTAGATGTAAATCGTCGTCACGGAACTGTTAGCCGTGGCTGGCAATCGCGGCTCCGTTCGGCTACCTCTGTCGCGTACAATTGATGAATGGAAATTGACTAAATTTGACCCGTGCCTCGTCTTACTAGATGGGGACGAGTGGTTTCGTCGACGGAGGGATAGAACGAGACGAAACCGCGGATCACGAATGGCCGGTTCCACGGTTCTACACTTCCCGGGGAGATCTAAGCCCGTGATCGTGGAAGTGATAGCACGGCCCAACAATGCCGGGCTTCCGTCTCGCGCTTCGTATCGTGTCTCGATATATACCGACTGGACTTGTGATTAATATTCCGACTATATACCGACTACACCACTAACGCCGGCGTTATTCACCATGTTCCCAGATTGGACGAAGCTTTGGGAAGAAGACCGTTGAGCGCGTTTGAGGATCGTTCGAGACCGGTATGTGACTGTGGTGGGTTTGCCGCCGTCGCCGAGCCGAGATCGCTGGGGCTTTAGAACGTCTAGTACTTGCCGAGTCCCCCGGGGATGATAGCTCCGTGGGAGCCGAGTCCGGCGTGGATGGCGCCAGATGGGCCGTTGATCACAGCAACACCACCGTCGTGTCCGCCGATTCCGCCAGCGATTCCACCACCACCTCCGACAACAGCGATGGCACCTGATTGACGTAATCATTATTTTTAACTATCTTATGTAATTATGATATATGATTTTTGTGAACGGAATACAGACCAGCACCGCTAAGACCGGCAAGGCCAGATGGCGCAGCAGCAGCAGCAGAGCCAGAGCTTCCGTCGTCACCGTTGATGTTACCGCTTCCAGCGTAGAAGGCAACACCACCGTAGGATGGTCCAACCAAGTTAGCGCGACCCTGAGATCCTCCCACAAGGGTGGAGGTACCAGCAGAGGCACCGACAGCGGTGAATGGACCAGTGGCGGGTCCAACGAGACCAGCTGGCCCGGTACGAGGTCCACCAACGTTCTTGGCACCTTCTTGGGGTCCAACGATGTCAGAGGGGCCGGTTTGGGGTCCAACGTTAGCCTTGGGTCCTTCAGCGGGTCCAATGTCAGCCCTGCCTCCGATCACTCCTGCATATTGGACAGAAGAAGCGTGAATCCCACCGAGATCCCCGGTACTCGTAATCCATTTCGTTCGGAAGATTACGCACCACCAGAGACGATTTGTTGTACACCAGCAGCACCAGCCGCCGCCGCGGATCCAGCAGCGTAGCTGGCACCAAGGGCTGGGGAAGCCAAGCTGGACGCTCCATCTTGCAGAGATCTGGCGGCACCAGCACCTGCCGCGAGTCCACCGGTGAGACTAGCACCTCCTCCGACGGCCAGGCCAACACCTCCACCTCCGAGACCGACGCCTCCGAGACCAACGCCTCCGAGACCAACGCCTCCGAGACCAACGCCTCCGAGACCGATCCCACCATGTCCACCACCCAGAGCGTAGCCACCTCCGTGAGCGATTCCGGCGCGGGCCGTCGCCACTGCCAGACAGGCGAACACAATCTGCGAAATCGGGTCAGTTTTAATTAAATATTTTCTTTTTCAAACGCGCCCGATAATCAATCGAACGGTGAAATCATAGATAGAAGACTAAACTCGGTTCACGGAAGCAACCGAGGATCCCGACTATCGCCGCGAATTCAGACTCCCATTGGCTTGGCACCGATTACCAACCGACTCTAACATAACTGCGCTGGCTTTCACTTTCGATACTTGCTCGACGGGCGCGAGCGCGCGAGCGAGCGTATAGAATCGGGAAACAGTCGCTGGGAAATCGTCGTTCCGATCGGCTTCGAGTCACGACGGTTTCGTTTAATATCAAAGTCCACGCTAGGCCGGATGCAAGTCGAGCGTGGAATTTCGTAACGTGTGCCGTGGCGCGGCGTAACGATTCCCAGTCCGGGAAAACTGCGGCTCGAAACGCCGTGAACGTTTCGCAAGCAAAGCGATACCCAGCCGATTACGACTATCCACCTCTTCACCTCCCGAACTCGCGATCAATCGACCCGTTTACCACGTCTAACCACCATATTAGGGGATGAAATACTTTCGAGTCTTTCGCAATATTCCCGCACGAATTTACCGTTAAGTAGATTTGTAATTAATAGAACAGCGATATCGTTCAATCAAGGAACGGATAAAAATCCGTGTTTCTCGTTCGTTCTAGAAATCGGAGAGAACAATTTCGAGTTAACGCGAATCGATCACGACATTTCCACCGGTGATTTTTCTTCCTATTACTGGAAACGACCGGTTACGAGCCGTTGTACCGGGAATCGATCGGAACACTACCACGTAACACAACCGAAGCGAGAGAAAATCAGTGAAACGAACGGAAGAACATTCGATTCCGTAACGATGTTGCTATAAAAGAGGAAAACGTTTGCTTCGATAAAAGATGAATTGATAAAATCCCGAAATATTATGAATCTGAATTCTTGAACCTCGTTGTCTAGCTGTTATGCATATACATCTAACGACTATCGCGAAACTTTCACATCCCGTTTACTTGGAAGCCGAGTAGTGAACCCGTGTGACGTGGTCGACCGCGCGTTCTCGCGACCCAACGATCGGAAAACGACCGAATGCGACGTCGAACGGCTTTCGAAATCACTGCTCTTAGGTAAATAAGACAATCTATTCGAATTGACATAACGTGTACTATTTTCAGATGACAGATGCGAGGCGGACAGAGATGAAACGGAGATGAAACGATCCGAATGCGGTGTTCTTGAATGAAGATGCACCGGTTGATAGAACCGGTCACGGGGTTCGGTTTGTTACTCAATGACGATGATACTACTGCAACCGGTTTTGCGAGACGGTCAGTGTACCGTGCAACCGGAGATTTCTTGCCGCATGAATGGAACGCGTAAGAAGGACAAAGTCGGGAGCGTTTGGTTGGTATCGCGGAGCAAACAGGACGAGACCGAGCCGAGAGCCGTGACATTGAATTACCGAGTTCGGCGTCTACTTGTCTGCGGCGAACGTAGCGAAATCGGGTAAAACATTGTAACGTTTCAAGAGAGCTTTACAAGTTACCAAGAAGTTTTAACTAAAAAGAGATTTGATGAAAATAATTGTAAATCGTTCGAAGGAGATATCTCGAGTAAAGAGCTGATGGCTCGTGAGTCGAGAGCAAAGTTGATGAAAGTTAAAACGTTTCAATGGAAAAGTGAAACCGCTGAGATGGCGTGTACGTTAGATGAAAATTGGTAATCAAGAACGATTGGACGAAACACCCCAGGAAATATCGGCAACCCCGTGGTGGCATACTCACAAAGGCCTTCATGTTTGGTGTGTGTATGGTGGGCTGGTAGTCCGGTGAATGACTGACTTGGGCCGGGCCGAGGGGCCTTATATACGCCTAACTCTACTCTGGCTACGCTCCACAATCACCATCCTTTCGAAAGCAAGGCGCTCCACCACCCTCCCTCCAGAAAAACTATAATCCACGTCGTAGCAGCGGAGTGCACAGTCCTAGCTAGTCCCACCAGCTGCATTAGGGGACGAAGAGGGGACTTTACACAGACGATATAGAGGTTGCCGTTGTAGGTTCTGTTCACGGGTATACCACATCAGAACAGCCTCCTACTCCACCCGCCCCACCATCTTGGCCTACACGCTCGGCATCCACACGGCAGGCCACACCAAGTGCAACCAGGCACCACCCGGGTTACCTGGTCACCTACGATATACAACAGCTCTCTCGTGTAACCGTGCTAAAACCTAGCAAACGAGAGAACGCAATTCCTGCAGAAATCTTACAATCTTGCCTACAACACCAGCTTGGACTAATTATTTTATCATTAGTTTTGTCTGAAGAACTAATCGATGCTCTCTTCTTGGTATCAACTTCTGCAGATATCGCGTCTCACAATTTCTATTCTTTGAATAACAAATTACCAGGTACAGGTGCAAAGGAACAGGATAATAGAGGAGCACGTTGCTTGCCTCTCGCCGGACAATGATGTAACTTTATTCTAATGTTACGCGTGTCTCATCGATCGCTGGCAGAAGAAAATGTCTTTCAATGTTGAGTTCGAATCTATTGGCGATGTTGATTTTGACGTGCCGAGATATTCGGAGATTTAGTTCAGAGTAACTGAAATTGACAGGAGTTTCGAAACGGTTGCATAGAAGTTCCAGAAGATCGTTGCATTTCTTTTTTCATCCTAACATCCGCAACTTACGCCAGCAACGCGTTCTGAAACACGGCATGGCATATGCCTTGGCTAGCATAGCTGGCAGGAAGTTTCGATTGCAAAAGTCGGCACGGATTTAGCCCTGAAACGCGTGCAATTTCTCACGATCTCTCGGTTGCTCGGTAAAAGCATCTCGGCGTTAGCTGTACGAAAAAGTCATCGCGATCAGCCAACGATGATTTCCTCTTCTGGTTAAGCGAGCGGTCGTTAAAAAGTGGTATTCGAACTGTGGAGAGTGGAAAGAAAGAAAGAAGAGAGGAAAAGTCGTAGATCCAAGAATGGTGACACTCGCGATCCAGATTATGGCCCGCTCGTTACGTGGAAACGGAGGGAGCCCGCATCGAAAAGGAGTTTCGCGTTAGCGGGCAAACGTGTAACGCTCTAAAGACTTGGAATTACGGCTCTTTCAATGGCCTTAAGAAACCTGAATTCTCTTCTAAATAGATTGCCAGTCGCTTACTTATTACCTCAACTTACTAATTCTACTCGCAACGCTGCATTATGCGATTGTTACACTATTGTCTCTTAATATTAGATGATTGGAAATTTAATCCAACTAACCTACAATTAACCCAGACGTTTCGACAGGTACTCGACTACAGTTCTAACTTGATTTTTCCTCCTATCCCATACGAGATCGAACTCAATCTCCATAATTCATCGTAGCGCAAGGAACAAATCGAACCGCAAATTTCACGCAACGGTGAAACGCTGACTGGTTTTTCGAAACCAGAAGCATAGACGTTCGATTAATTACAAGTTGAAATTCCATTAGTAAAAGCGGCTCCTTATCAGGCGGTACGCGTTCCTCATCCGATTCTAAAACGTAACACTCGCCCGTAAGATCTTCAGCCAAGTATTTTCTATTTTTCTTTTCCTACTTCTTTGTCTATCGTTCGCTGAAAAGAAATTCGCGTTGATATGTTTACAGAGATAACATTGTCCGGGTCTGCGTTCACGATCTACATAATTGTGCAATGGAAACGGTAGCCGAGAAGATGAATTATTTGTTTAGAGCGCTTGGATAAACGCGACGATGAGCGGCGTATAAAGCTCGATAGGTTTCGTCATCGATTCAATGCTAAACACGAAACGAATAGAAGGAGAATAGAACGGTGTAGGACAGAGGGTAATAGAAGAAGATGGAAAAATGAAAGACGACCCTGGGAAAAATCGTCGAGGATGACTTAATCCGTAACGTTAGCGGGGAGTAACACGCAGCTAATTAAATCACAAAGCTAATTAAGCCGACTTGCTTTGCGATGCGATTCCTAGCCCCGTATCACGGCCGGCTAGTTTTCCGGCTCGCGCGAAGTGAAAGCCATTATATTATTTGGCGTCCGCGAAAAATGCCGGTCTATCGCGAAAGTCGCCCGCGCGTATCTTTTCTCACCAGCCCTGACCGGTTTCGAATATATAAAGCGATACGAGCCAGCCTGATGCCGGCTATTTTCCTTCTCGTCCACCCTCCATACGGTCCACCCGTATTTCAAACCGACTTCGTCGTCCGACCAATTTCTTTGTTCTCCTTTATTATTATTTCATCGATTAATATCCAGCTCCTGTCGTTTCCTCGGAACGACACAGAAAATCGGATAGAATCAAACTGAGCGTTCGGTATTGAGCAATCGATCGTGAAAAAGCTCGGTGGAAAGATAAGGGGAGAAAGGAAGACGGGAAATTAAGCGATTATTTAACTTGTATCGTGCAATCGATCCTTTCTTTCGTTCACAGTGTCACGGTTGAGTAATAATTTCCAGATCTATTAATTGTACATACTTTATTAGCTACGTTGCTTCTGACCTCGCTATAGTATTTTCGCTTTCATTCTAAGTTAAATCCAACGAATTATAATTGAATTTAACCCTTTTTCTTATTATAACAGGGTAGCTCCACCCCTTCCTTTAAAGTCAGAAATCGAATGGAAGGAGAAGCAACATCAGACCTTCAATAGGCAGCTTATCCGGAAATTCTATCAAAATATCATTAGATCTTGAGATCGTGTTCCTCGATCGAATCGTCAATTTCTTGTCCGCGCGAAAGAGTTAGGCGGTCGCGAAGAGAAACTTCGCTAAAAATACGGGGACGATGACAGTAACGGTGGCTCGTCAACCGAGATGCGCTGTCTCGGCGGATTTTTATGTAACACTAGGATGTGAAACCGGAGAAATTTTCGTGGCGAACCGAGGGTATCCGTGGGAATAGTGTGTTCGTTCCGCGACGACAACGAACGACAAAGGAGTTGTCGTTGATACAAGAAGATTGCCCAGCCGGACCCACGTGCTGGCGCTTCGCTTCTTGATGTTCGAGTTATCCGGTTGAACCGAGCCGATGGATACCTCGTGCAAATTGCACGTTACAGCACGTGATCCCTATCGTGTTCGAGGAGATTGCCCTGTCCATATCCGTGAACGCAGCGACGCTTTAACAGAGAAACGTTGATATACCTTTACCGCTCGATGACGTCCCATTACGAGCCGCAACTCGTGGGATTTTGAAGGGAATTCAGCAAGTAAATTCGAAACCACCGTGAAATGCTTTCGAATCAGCTGTCCAAGACGTTTCCATTGAAACCAGATCGAAACGAAAGCCTGTAACGAACGGCTCGAATTAATCAGCTGCCATTATTTTTCTCCATACGTATGAATAACATAATGATGGTTCTATGTTAATGCAAATGCCGATTCCGATAGAAAATTTATTAGCAACAAGTTTCACCCTTTTATGTAATTCGTGCACGGTTGCGATAGATTGGAACGGTTAACCGGGATTCCAAGCTGATCGGCCTTTGATCGATCCAAGATTGCACCGGAAGCACGAAATTGGGTTGTTCCACAACTTTGGTTATCCGCAAATTAGCACCGCGCCACGTAAAGTCTACCAAGTTTCTCAATGTAAAAACTTGTTCAACTTTGTGTTATCTAATATCTACTTTGTTTGTGATCAACATTTTTCTCACCTACTGAAACTAGATATATACATTTATAATTTTCCATTTATAAAACGAGATTAATATCTAGTGTGTAGTTACATATTGGATATATCAGTTACGGTAATTCATAAAAGTTAGTTACTCGAGGGCAGATAAACTATCGCAAGGTAACCAGAGTCGCATTGACAAGCCGCAACAAGAATCGCCAAAAGTGCATAATTGTCGTTACGCAAGCGTCAGCTCGCTTTCTATCGTTTTATCATTGAAAATCGTATACATTCTTGCCTGTAACCGGTACACTTTCGCCGTTCTAAAAAAGAACAATCAAATATTCACAACGACACGTGCATTTCCATACCTGCAATAATCTTAAATTTCCGAAATTTTTATGAAACGAATGAATGAAACTTACAAATGTAGAAAAAGAAATTTAATATGCGATAGAGGATCTCGCGATCAAGTTTCGCTAATGTATTCATGCGAAAGGGTAATCAGAGTTAATTGGAATGGAAGGAAGGAAGGAAGGAAGGAAGGAAGGAAGGAAGGAAGGAAAATCGAGCACAAAGGACGAATAAACGCTTGCCTCCGCTCGCGACGTACGGCGTAGCTCGCTTCGGCAACTAGACTCGAAAGTATCTTACGCAATAAGCGAAGCGAGATAGTGTGGGCTACCACCGTCCACCTCGAAGCTGCCCATCATTTCCGTGTTCTGCTGGTTGCTCGGCCGCGAGCTCATACTCGCCTTTCTGTCTTCATTCAACCACCATCGACTTCATTGTCCGAGTTCCCTGATTTCTCTGGGACGATTTGCATCCTTACCATCTTTATTTCTACTTCTTTTTTTAAATATTTTATTAGATAATGAAACTTGGACAATATTATCCACGTCAGAGAATTCGTTATTCAAAATTTCTATTAAGGTTCAAATGAAAATTTTTTACCAATTGCAATTACTTTTTTCCTAATACTCGTTACAAAAAAAAAAAGCGAACAATATTTCCTGAACGAACTACCTTCACTGCAGACGGGTTGGCAACGTTTGTTCTTCGAGTTTCACGAGTATGCACGTTTTGTTTATCGCAGCAACAAGAGCAAACATAATTTCAGGTTCAGACGTTCCTCATCGTCGGCACTCGAACTTCGATGTTGAGTGGCTTTTCCCGTTCCATCGACGCAATTCATTTCGTTTCGGGTATAATTGTTAAAAAAAAAAAAGAAGAACTCGAAAGCGTAGTTCATTTTAGAATGAAATATGTTCTCTGCCTCCGTTGGAGCTCATTTC